CTGGGATCCTTATACACCTACTATACACGCTATATGTACCCTTAAGGGTCCCTAGAAAGGCCCAAGGGTCCCTACCAGGGGCCCATGCTTCTAACCTTAGACAACAACCCGGAAGAGACCGGCATTTAGGGGTCCGCATAACAAGGGTCACCCTATTCGGTTTCTGTATGCCTGTATATGCTAGACCCACTCCTCCAAATAAGAGCCTTGTATAACTCTAAGATTAGAAGTATGGACCCCTAATATGGACCCTGAGGCCTTCTATGGGGGATTCTAGGAACCCTTAGGGGTACATACAGGGTAAAAATCAGGTATACAAGAATCCCAGGGTTAAGGGCCCATACTATGGGCCCATGAAAGGTAGAATAAGGTTAGGACGGACCCCGAGTCCTCCCCGCCCCAATACCTGCCAGCTGGGACATGTCATGTAGGGTTAAACCCTAAACCCTAAACCCTAAACCCTAAACCCAAAACCCTAAACCCTAAGCCCATTCCAGGCTTCGGGCTTCTCCGGTCTTTTTGGTAGGGTCCTTGAGCGGCCCCGAAGCTTTAAACCCTAAACCGGCCCCTAAGCCCGAAACCGTAAACCCTAAACCTTAAACCCTAAACCTTAAACCCTAAACCCTAAACCTTAAACCCTAAACCCTAAACCCTAAACCCTAAACCCCAAATCCCCAGCCCTAAGTCGCACATGCAGAGGAGGAGCCAGGAAGCTCAAAAGTTCCATACTTCTTCGCGATGTTTTGGAGCTCCTGGGCACGTTTCGAGATTGGAGGTTGAGGGCGTGGGGCGTATCGGGCTTTTAGGGTTTGGGGTTTTTTTCAAGTGCAATGGTCCCCTTTCGCTCCGCCGAGGCAGTAAAAAGACCCACCCTTCTGCGGGTATACACTTGTTGAGCACAGCGGGTCTCGGGTTTAGGGCTTAGGGTTTAGAGTCTAGGGTCTCGGATTTAAGGCTTAGGGTTTAGGGTCTGGTTTACGTAGGGGCCTTAATAATTGGAATAGGGTTTTGGGGGTTCAGTATACTATACCCCCCAACCCCCATTCTAGTTATTAAGGCCCCTATACCTCAGTTTCCCCCTTTTCAACGTCTTGAACTCATCTGTGCAATAGGCACGTCCGATTTGGACACTCAGCCTCACGAAAGAAGAAGAAGAAGGCCCCCATATTAGGGGGTTTAGGGTTTAGGGTTCAGGGTTCAGGGGATTGAGAAGCTCCGAAACCCCGAAATCCTCGACGCAAGCGCCGTGCGAAAACACCGAAATCTGTGGCCCCATGAATCCCAGAAAAGCGACCTTTCCCGAAAATCTTTGTATCCCATTCAAGGCCGTTGCACTTGGGCTCTATCAGGACAGAAACCAGAAATCTTGAACCCTAAACCCTCAACCTCACTCAACCTGGCCCCCAAATCCTAAACCCTAAACCCTCAGCCATTCACCCCAGAGAATCCTTATGAACTCTTACAGAACCCTGAATCACTGAAAGAACCCGTATCTTATGAAGCTTATGAAACCCTAAACCCCCCAAAACCCCCTTCAAGGATCAGGTCCTCCTGGAGAACTTCCAGCTTACCCGTAGCTTCCAGCTCCTCCATCGTCGGGACTGTGGCTTTGGGTTCAGGATTTAGGGTTCAGGGTTTGGGCCTTAGGGTTTAGGGTGTCAGACTGACTTTCATGTCAAGGTCTACGTGCTGGGTTCCTTGTTGTAGCTTTAGGTGCAAAGGTACCTTTCGGGTCTTCGGGCAAGACAATCGCAAGATGTCACGGCAGCGACAACATGCCGGCGGAGACGATTATGTCGTCGGTGTGAACGAACACGACGGCCGGGACGACCACGACGAGAGGTGATGAGGGTGCCGATAGTGATGATGTTCTTACTAACAACGAAAACTACAATAGTCGCAGCATTGAAAGATCGTCAGCGCCATCATCGCACCTGCGCCGATGTTAAGTCAGCTTCGTCGCCCGCACCAGAATCACGATCATCGCCGTCACCATGATCCTCGTGATCATCATGGTCACCATCCTCACCATAGCCGGCATCATCCTCCTCCTCCTCCTCCTCATCATCATCATCATCACCATCATCATCATGATGCTCCTCATCACCTTCCTCCTCATTGTCCTGGCCAGAAGGAGGCATGGCAAGAAGGAAAAACGCTAAACCCTAAACCCCTACACCTTAAACCCTAAACCCTAAACCCTAAACCCCAAACCCCTAAAACCCCTAAACCCCCAAACCCCCAAACCCCTAAAACCCCTAAAACCCCTAAAAACCCTAAAACCCAACCACACCGCCCCCCCAGGGGCGCCTCGCGCTGTTTGATGAACTTCTCCCTCTGAACACGGAGGTCGCTCTGCTCGAAGAGGATGTTTAAGGTCTCGGCCTAAGATTTTAGGGTTTAGGGTTTAAGGTTTAGGGTTCTAGAGTTTAGGGCTTTAGGGTTTTGGGGTTTAAGGTTTAGGTTCTAGGGTTTTAGGGTTCTGGGGTTTTAGGATTTAAGGTTTAAGGTCAGGGTTTTGGGGTTTAGGGCTTTAGGGTTTAAGGCTGTGGGTTTAGGGTTTAAGGTTTAGTAAAAGGTTTAGGGTTTAGGGCTTAAGGGTTTAAGGTTTAGGGTTTAGGGTTTAGGGTTCGGCCTAAGGTGGCTTTAGTAAAGGCTTTATCTCGCCATAATGGGCTGAATATGGCCAGAATAAAGGCTTAATATATCCATAATAAGACCTCAAGGTTTGGGTTTAGGCTGTAGGGTTTAGGGTTTAGGGTTTAGGGTTTAGGGATGGGGGCTCATTGCACTCAGCTCCTGACGAGCCGTGGAACGATGACTTCTCGCGCCACCTCGCGGTGACAGAAGGCTTTGCTGTACAGAGGCCACAATGATTAGAATAGGGCTCTGTGGCATATTTGATTTTAACTGTAGGAAGAAAAACCCACAATAGCATTGCAATTCTTGAACCCCGATATTAAACCCTAAACCGAAGACTCAGTGAACCTACTGCATCAGAAAATGAAACCCCAAATCCTGACTCGCACAAACCCGAGCAAACCCCAAGTAAACGAAGGTTATACCCTCGGAGATAGAGTCCTGGTCTGTAACCCCCAACAGCAACCGAGACTAAAACAGTGGTCTGAGTAATTGGTAGCTATCTTCACTAATATACTATGCCCAGAGAATCCTTTACTCCAATTTTTCAAAGCTCCTAAACCCTCAACCCTAAGCCCTAAGCCCTAATCCCTAAACCCTAATCCTTAAACCCTAAACTCTAATCCCTAAACCCTAAACCCTAAACCCTAGACCCTAAACCCTAGACCAAAAACCATGAAAACCTTAAACCCGAGACCAAAAACCATGAAAACCCTGAACCGAAGATCGCTTCCCCAGTCGACTCCTTGTCGCTAGCAATGCCCTCGGGTAGGAACTCCAGGGTGACGAGGTCCTGGAGACACCTGCCGCGACCCGGCTTTCAGGATTTTGGGGCTTCGGGGTCGTTCGGCTTGCGTTTAGGGTTTAGGGTTTAGGGTTTAAGGTTTAGGGTCTAGGAGGTTCCTGTAAGAGTTGCTATGAGGGCTTTTTATGGTTTAGGGGAAAAAGGCTCAAGGTTCTGGGACAACAGTGTAGGGGCCTCAATATTCACCAATACGATTTTGGAGGCTCCTTGTGATAGCTATAGTATAGTGAGCCCCACAACCCTATTCTAATTATGAAGGCCCTTACATTAGGAAGTTTCCTATCAGGGGCGCTTAAGGCTCTGGAAAGGGCCTTTATTTGTAAGGGTTTAAAAGGGGCTTGGGGGGCTGAAGGTTAAGGGTGTAGGGCTTCGAGGTTGCGTTTTAGAGCCCAAGGTTAAGGGCTCAGGATTCGGTTTGGTTTAGGGTTTAGGGTTTAGGGTTTAGGGTTTAGGGCAAAGTTTGGAGGGTTTGGGGTTTGGGATTTAAATTTACGGTTTGGGTCTTCGAGGCTAGTGATCGGAGTGCTAGGATGCTCCGGCAGCCTTAGTAACAGAGAAACCTTCAATATTCAAGGTTTAGGGTTTAACTTGGGGTTTACGGTTTAGGGTGGCTTCACAAGCAAAGGGCCCTGCTGTGGCAACGACTCTTTGATTAAGGCCCCGGCTCGTCGTACATGTTGGCCTGCACCTGGGTAAATGCGGGTTCGGGGCTTTATACGAGGATTCATGTTCCCCTTAAGCCCCAAACCCCCAACCCTAAACCCTAAACCGCCAGGCCCCAAAACTAGATGGGTACACCAGCCTCCTAAATTCAGGTTTGAAGGTCTATGCTTTGGGATCTGTGACGTCAAGGGCTTTTGGCTTTGTTGTTCTGGATTTCGGGCTTAGGACTTTGGAAATCACTCGCCCCCGAGCCCGGGACATGGATGAGGTACTCGATGAGGGCTACCCGCTTCTCGGGCGTGATGCGCGTCATGAGCCCGTAGTCCAAGATCCCTCGAAACACTGTCTGGGTGGGGAAGAACCTAAACCCTCAACCCTAAGCTCTAAACCCTAAACCCTAAACCCTGAGCCCTAAACCCAAAACCCTAAACCCTACACCTTAAACCCGAAACCCCGAACCCGAAACCTTAAACCGTCACGCCCAATGGCCGACAACAGTTCATCCTCACACCCCTCGACCCCAGTTCCGCAACCGGCTCTTCAGGTCTCGGGTGCCGCTGCCCCCAAGCCCCAAAAGACCGGTTTAGGGTCTGAGGGTTGAGGGTTGAGGGTTTAGGGTTGAGGGTTGAGGGTTTAGGGCTTAGGGGTTTAGGGTTTAGGGTTTGGGGTTTCAGGGTTTCGGGGGTTTGGGGTTTAGGGCTCCAACCCTGAACCTACAAAAGCTCGACTGTAGGTGCATTACTCATGAGAGCCGGATTTTGGGGTATACTATGCTTCTCTCAATAAGGGTCCTTTTTCGGTTCTTTTCACAAGGGTGCCTTACTATTTTGGGGGACCTACAAGGGGATCCTGATTTTGACAACTACCCAGAGACACTACGACTAGAGGCACCTTGAGGCTTTTTAGTCCTGGCCCGGGAGCGCAACGATATCCGCACGGCCCTAGTCCAAGCCATGCAACAAGTAGGGGCTATTATTGAGGATTCGGAGTTCAGGGGCTTATTCGTAGTTGCGCTTTGACTGAGGGCTTACAGGGTTGAGGTTTTTTTATAGGGTTTAGGGTTCAGGGCTTCGGGTTGCAATGCTATGACCGCAACTTAGATGCAGCATCCGGCTGCTGCGCGCAAAGACACCCTGAACCCTGAAGGATTGAACATTAAGGGACAATAGGAGGGACCCCTAGAAGGGAGCCCTAATCCAAATACCCTATATAACCCTTATATACCCCTTATATAGTCTCATAGAGCCCCTTTTTAACCCCAATTTTCCCTTTAAGGGTCCCTCCTTTAGTCCCTTGAGAACAGCAAACTTCAAGAGATTGATTGAGAGTCGACTCCCAGACCGGTGGACCCGAGACGCTGACGCCATCAGCCCTTTCCCCGCAAGCAAGAATCTCATAAACCTAAGCCCCGAAACCCCTAAACCCCTAAACCCCTCAACTCCGAAACCCCTAAACCCGTAAGCCCGTAAACCCGTAAACCCCTAAACCCTAAACCCTAAACCCCTAAACCCTAAGACCCGCAATCTCACGGCCGACGCGTGGCCGATTTTCCCCGTGGGCATGAGCACGAAGTTGCCGGGATGGGGGTCCTGGGGGTGTCATTTTGAGGGTTTTTGGGTTGGGGTTTAGGGTTTAGAGTTTAGGGGTTTAGGGTTCAGGGGTTGGGGTTGAGGGTTTAGGGGTTGGGGTCTACGGTTTAGGCTTTAGAGTTTAGGGTTTAGGGTTTAGGGTATAGGGGGTTTAGGGGTTTAGGGGTTTAGTTGTTTAGGTGTTTAGGGGTTGGGGTCTAGGGTTTAGGGTGTGTATACAGCGTGCACACCCACTGATCGCATGCTTGCGTGAATGTAATCTCGCCCCTTAGGGCGAGGGCGTAAGGCCTGAATAATTGCTAATACCTTGCCTGAAGTATCCTTGCTATAACCAAAACACGAGACAGTACCCCGAAACCCTCATATAGTTCGATCAGGTTTCCCGCCAGCACTTCGGTGGTTCAGCTCTTCGGTGGTTTACAGGGATTAATTAATCAGGATTTCTATAGGTGTCTAATCTGGCTTTCATGCAGCGTTCGCTAGCGAAGGTCATTTCCCAGCCAGTTCATGCCATATGCCCTCGCATTTACCTCCCGCCCCGAGAACCTTAGATGGTACGCTGTCACACAGCCAGCCGCCACAGAAGCAAGCAACGGACGCGTTTAAGACTGAGACCTAGAGGCGAAGGTGAATGCGCATGCGGTCGATGTGCAAAAAACAGATTCGATCTCCTGAGTACATCTTCCAACAAGACACGACAACAGCAGAGTCTGTTTGGTGCAAAAAACTGCCGACAGTTAGCAAGAATGGAATCGAATCGCTCAAAAGTGAGAGACTGCGTGCGACCGACACGTGTGGCCCGGTGTTAGCTATCCCGTAAAGTGGAGAAGCCAGCATGATGCCCTCTCAAAGACCCATACAAGAAAGGCCTAAAGGCCTCCAAAGCCCGGCACAAGATACCTCAACCTTCAACTCTAGACCCTAAAACCCCGAAGCCCTAAACCCGCAACCCGAATCAAGGGCCCCTTTCTTCTGATGCCACTCCGAGGATCCCCATGGAGGAAACCCGTCTCGAGGAGCTGCACCATGTACCTGGGCTCAGGGTTTAAGGGTTTAGGGTTTAGGGACTTTGGGTTTAGGGATTTAGGGTGTAGGGATTTAGGGTTTAGGGATTTAGGATTTAGGGTTTAGCGTTTAGGGATTTAAGGGCTTAGCGTTGCGGGCTCTGAGTGTTTTGCCGGTGGTCGTATATTTTTAGGAAGGTGCTGATGCGAGCTCTTAACAATTTTTCTGCCGATATCGAGAAGGCGTTGTAAGAATTCGCAAAGGCCTTTGTCAGTTGTTTGCAAAGTTTTGGAGAATGGACGCTTAATTTGTTTCCCGCACTGCGGGTTTTCCGGACCCCAGAACCTTAGCAGGGCCTGCACTGCATCCCTGGTACCTTTTCGCGCTGGCCACTGGCCTGAACTGTCCGGGGTTGATGATGTACATCCTGCATTACCCATAATAAGGAATAGACCAGAATCCCCATAGTTTAGGGTCCCTAAACCCTAAACCCTAAACCCTAAACCCTAAACCCTAAACCCTAGGTCCTTAAGGTAATGCAGGATGTATATCATCAACAGTAGGGTTGAGAAGGACTCAGTGTGAAGGGCTCAGGGCTAGGATAATATAGGGGCCTTAGTAACTAGAATAGGCTCAGAGACTCCAAAACCCCTTAGTTAAGGAATATACCTTAAATCATATTGGGGATCCTATTATAATTTAAGGTATATTCCCTAACTAAGGGGTTTTGGAGTCTCTGGGGGGCTTTGGGGTCCTTTATTCTATAAGTATAATAAGCAGCCCTTAAAATAGTATAGGTAATAAATTTAGGCTCCTATATTAGGAGGTTGAAGTGGTTCTGAAGCTTAGTTCGCAGCGGCTTTTTAAAACAGCAGCTTCCAGAGCAGACTGCGACTACTACCACCGCCACCGCCACCCTAAACCCTCAACCCTAAACCCTCAACCCTCAACCCTAAACCCTAAGCGCTAAACCCTCAAGAAAAGTTGCCTGAGCATCGCCGCGCCCAAAGCCCGAACGCGAAAAAGGACCGGGTTGGGAGAGTTTATGGTCCAACCTTATGATGTACCATATTATATTATCGTCTATATATTCTATACGACCCTAGTCTGGTCTACTTAACTTGTACAATACTATAATGCAACTCTGTACTCTACCACACTACACTATGCTGCGCTATGCTGTGCTGCGCTATGCCATATCATTTTGATACGATACCAGAAATTGTTGCACTACGTAAGTTATATGAAACTCAGCTACATGACAGTACATTACGTATATCAAATGACGCTATATTACATCATAACGATATGTGTAGACCCTAAACCCTAAACCCGAAACCCTAAACCCTAACCCGAAACCCTAAGCCCTAAACCCTAAACCCTAAACCCGAAACCCTAAACCCTAAACCTTAGACCTGGGCTAGGGGACTGGAGAGCCGTAAATTACGGAGATCAAACCCCACAATGCCGCCACCAAGCGAGTTCAGCAGGACCTTGACCTTGGCAGAGCAAGCAATGGGCTTTAGGCTGGTTTGGGTTTAAGGTTTAGGGGTTTACAGTAGGGGTTTAGGATTTAGGGTTTAGGGGTTAGGGGTTTAGGATTTAGGGTTTCAGGTTTAGGGTTAAGGGGTTTAGGGTTTAGGGCTTTAGGGGTGCTATACGACTGGCCTATGGGCCTATGTCGGAACATCGCCATGCGCCTCTTGGAGAGCTTTGGCATCACTATACTATAGTGTATCATATTATGCCATATGGTATTATACCATGATCCATTTTATATCATAGTATGGTATATCATACGATATTCCAGCATATCATATTATGCTACAGGGAACCCCCGGCCGGTCTCTATCCCAGGCCACCTCACTCGCTAGGAAGAGCCATGTCCATGGCAGTAGCACTGGGCGGGGGTGGTTCTACTGCTGATGATATAAATCTGCATTACCTTATGGACCCCGAAATATGGGCATTATGGTATATTTCTTATTATGGGTAAGGATTTATATCCTCAACTGTAATTAAGAACAATAGCAGAACCAACGCCAAGAGAAAGCGTGACTTCGGGGTGGCACGATTTACTGCCCTTCTCGTACTAATACCAACCACAACGACAACGACTCCAGCGGCGACGATCACAACGCCGACCATAATCAACAACGACTTCATCAATAGCAGCAACAACTAACCTTGAGGTCCCAATGACAGCGTGCCGCATTGTTTGGTGGGTCTGGGCCAGTGTCGGGACCGCGAATAGAGACCTTATGTTAAGATGACCGTGTTTGTCGCATCAAATGAGAAGTCAGAACAAGCCGACCGTGATACGCCCGGAACAGATTCTATTGCCGGGGCATTCAAATCTCTCGATGAACGGCAGGGGGCTTGACGTATGGGCGTCATTGCCACCCCCTCTCTGACCCCTGGCCAACCCAACAACGCAGAACCAGAGCAACAGCAGCATAATAACCAACAGGAACAGCGGGAAGTAGAAGAGAAGCAGTCGTTGTCGATGTCGTAATTGTAGCCGTAGCCACGGCCTCACCCACAGCTCCAGTCGTAGCCGCTCGCATTCGCAGTCGTAGTCACAGTCGTACTACTAGTTATATCAATAAGAAGAATCATGAATTAAAAAGACACTAGAAAATAGCGGCGGCAGAGTGATACGTCGAGCTCCTAATCCCTGAAGCCCAAAGAGTAACCCGGGCTTCCCCCAGTCCTCTCACCTTCGAAACCAGCGGTACGTAGCTAAGGTGGCCCTAGGCCCTAAACCCTATACCCTAAACCCTAAACCCTAAACCCCAACGCCAAAAAACCCTCAAACCTGAACACTGAACCAAACCCTCAGTCCCCCTAAACCCTAAACCCTAAACCCTGTGGTAGAAAACCAGAAACCGCACCAAAAACCAAACATTATGCTTCACCAAAACCAACCGAGCCCTGTACCCTAAACCCTAAACCCAAAGTCCTTAACACACCCAAGCCAAAAACCTGAAACCCACACCCTGAAAGCCCCAAGACATGAACCTCAAACAACCGAGACTCCTTGCGAAGGTCTCCTTGCTAATTAGGGTTTAGGGTTTAGGGGTTTTGGGTTTTTGGGCTTTAGGGTTTAGGGTTCCTTATGAGCCCCAGTATGATAAATATAGGGGCATTAATAATTAGAATAGGGTTTTGGGGCCAATTAAACTATAGTCATATTAAGGAACCTCCAAAATAGTATTGGTCATTATTTAGTCCCTGGCAATATAGTAACAGGTTCTTGACAAGAACCAAGACAACTGTATCAAAACGATGCTAACTACGCTGGTTGTGGATGTTGCTGTTTCTAAAATTCGTAGAAGAGTTGCTAGTATGCTTACGATGATCCTGTTATTGTGAGAAAAACCGTAGACCATGCTAAGACTATTCCTGGCCGTGTTATTCGTAGTACTAGTATTGCCAGCACGAGGGTTCCTAAAACTATCATCAGCAATTTCGGGACTTCGTTTCCAACCTCCCCTAAACCCTAAACCCTAAACCCCCCTAGACCCTAAAAGCCTCCCTAAAGCCCTGAAGCCCTAAATCCCCTCAAACCCTAAAGCCTTGAACCCGTAATCCCCCTTGAACCCCTGAAGTCCTAGACTTCCCTAAACCCTAAACACTAAACCCTAAACCCCAAACCCCTGAACCCTAAACCGCGGCACGGTTTAGGGTTTAGGGCTTAGGACCCTAAACCCCTTAAACCCCCAACAACTCCCTTATCAAGAGCCCCTCTGGGTCCCCAGGCCACTTCCTGCGACTGGTCCTTGGCAGCCCCTTCCTCCGTCAGCTTCTTCCCAGGGAGCCACTCCTGGCTTCGGGGTTTAGGGCGTGAGGTTTGGGTTTAGGGTTTAGGGTTTAGGGTTATGGGTTATGGGTTATTAGGGCTTGGGGATTAGGGTTTTAGAGTTTAGGGTCGGTTCTGGGCTTTGGGGTTTGGGCTTGGGGCTGAGGGTGCACTGGTAAGATTTAGGGCTTGGAGGTGCTGGGGTTCAGGGAGCTCGTGGGGGTTTCAGGTTTAGGGTTCGAAGTATATGTACATATAATATATATATATATATATGTATATATATATATATATATATCTCTCTCTCTCTCTCTCTCCCTCTCTCTGCCTGAATACATAAGCAAAAAACTATATATCTATACAGATGTATATACACACAGATACGCGTATGTATCCAGATGACTTTTTGTCTCAGTCAGTTCCTTGCGAAGCGGCAGTATCGGCAATAAAATAGATTCATGACTGCATGTTTTGTATGCGCTAACAGTTTTGCATGGGGTCCTTCAACAAAGTCTTGGGGGTTCAGGATCTACTTGAAGGGTCTGAAATAGTTAAAGAAATAGAACAACAAGGTTTGGGTCAAGTTATTGTAAAGGTGCATAAGGACTACATGGGCATGTTTCCACTAGTTACTCCGACCCCTACAATACTGCTGATGATATAAATCCTGCAGTACTTTAACGATCCTAAACCTTGGGAATTATGGAATACAGTATTCCTTAATTATGGGTATTGCAGGATGTATATCATCAATCGTACCCTCAACCCACAAACCTAAACCCGACACCCTAAAAAGGTGCTGAAGCGACAGCTTTAGGTTAAAGGCTGAGGGCCTCAGGGCTTTAGACTTACTTCAACACTCCGAACCTGGCTCCCCTGTTTAGGGTTCAGGGTTTAGGGTTCAGGGTTTAGGGTTTAGGGTCCAGGGTTTAGGGATTCTTTAGGGTTTAGGGTTCAGGGTTTAGGGTTTAGGGTTCAGGTCTTCGGGGTTCTTTAGGGTTCAGGGTTCAGGGTTTAGGGTTCAGGGTTTCGGGTTAAGGGCTTAGGGTTTAAGGCTCCTGCACCAGAACTTCTCTTGAAGCTTTCAGCACCTCCGGCACGACCACCGTGTCCTCGACCTG